TCGTTGTTTTCGAGTGTTAACCTTTCAGCACCCTTAGGACGGTTGTCTTCGTTTTTCTTTCCGACTGTCCCCAATGAATTTTCGTTGGAAATTTATGCATGCGCTCGCCTAAACATAGATAAGTATGTAATGGTGGGCTGCCGTAGTACTAGTTGGTATACATATGTATATGGTCTATAATGTCGGCGGTATTTTATGGTTATGGTCCACCATACGTACTGATATATCTTTACGAAATATGTACTTTACTTTTTTATTCGTTAATATTGTTTAATTTCTAAAAACGGATACGGTCTGCTAAGCACGTTGTTAGAATATTTTGACTCTTACGAGAAAACGCATGTAGATGCAGAGATGGGATGTCATACCTTTGAATAGTATACGAAATTTGAATGTGCATAAATTCCGACATTAGAGTATAATAATCGATTTTTAATGTAATTTTCGATATTGCCTGTGTATGGTCATGCAAAATTCGTTTAGCGACTTTTACTAACCATGCATTTTTTTCAATTTTTAGCCCTGTTGATTTATCAAAAACACGTTAAATTAGACAGGGCTAAACTATCCAACATTAGGTAAAGTAATCCTTTACACATAAAACTATCACGATTGAGTATTGGAACGAGTTCCACTTTAAACTGCAGTTACCAGTAAAATCGAGTGAAGAATACATTTTATGCCCACAAAACACCATAATTTTGGCAGGCTATACCAAAACTTGAACCAGCACTGACTTTTTTTGTACTAGAGGGATTGTTTTCTATTGCGAGTTTCAAATTCCACATTTCAAACAATTCCATGGAAATTGACCTCTATAGGGTGCATGTTATGAGTTAAGAACACTTCAATTATAATCGGGGCTCTAAATATATCTCAACCCAGTTTTTATAAATTCAACGCATTTGATTGCAGAACAAATTCGGTCAAATGTTCAAAATCAATCCTATTTTGGCTGATTTTGAACATTTGGTGCCAAATATACCAGAAATTAGATGAAGATGTGTATGGAAGCTATATCCAAGTCCGAACTAAAAAAAATATGCAGAAATATTTCTGAACTCTATCTGATATCTTGTACCGAATATGGTTGTTACTGAGTGCATATAACGGCTTAAATATCAAATTGGATGAAACAAATATATGGAAGCTATAGCTATATCTCAACCGAGATTCATTAAATTTCGTTAATTTACTTCTAGGCTAAATTCAGTTGCATGTCGTAAATTTCATCCTATTTGGGAAATTCGACAAAGATATATGGCGGCTATAGCTAAATATGGACCGATTATCATCAATTTACAGGGTGAGATAAAAAAAAGCAACAAAGTCAAAAACCATAATTTTAACTTTTTTTTAAATTTCATGGAATGAAAGCTAAATATGTCGGAAATAGCAGCAAATTTTAGAATAAGTTTAGATTTGTTCGAATTGGTGACCTTTGGCACAAATAATGGCCTTCAAACGGCCAATGAGACCGTCACACGCTGCCCGAATGCTGCACTGCGGTATTTTGGTCCATTCCCAGCGGAGCGCTTGCTTGAGATGATCGACACGTTGGTATTTTTAGTAAAAACCTTGCTTTCCAAAATATTCCAGACACAACGTCCAAGGGATTGATATCCAGAGATTTTGCTGGCCATTGAGCGTTGGGAATGTAGCGAGGAACCTTATTTTGTAACCATTCTTGGGTGGCGCGTGCTAAGTGTGATGGTGCTGACTCCTGTTGGAATGTCCAAGGTCTGGGGCCAAAATGTTTGCGTGCCCAAGGCTTCAATACATCCTCCAGAATATTTTCGTGATATAATTGGTCATTTATTCTGATTAATACGAGCGGAGAGCGATTAATACGAGCGGTGAGCGACCATTGGCTGGTATGGCGGCCCACACCATCACCATGGCCGGCACTTAAGTTCTGGTGGCCAACCGAAGGTGCACATTTTCAGCTGACCTCTTTGGCAAGAAAACACGATCATTTTGTTTCTTTACAAACTGCTAGACAACGAATATTTTCTCATCGGAGAAAACCAAATTCTGCAGTTCACCACTTTCGGCCAAGCCAAGCAATTCTTAAGCTCTTTTTTCTTTTTGTTGCGGTGCAAGTTCTTGCACATTTTGGAATTTCAATGACTTTACCCCGAGCTAATTTTTTTTTTTATTTGCCGAATGGAATATTGCGATATGTTCAGCTCACGAGCCACTGCGACGCGTGTTCCGATCAAGTCGCTTTTTACTTTTCGGACCATTTGTGCTGATGTACAGTATCATGGTAACGAGTGATGGTACGAGACACAGAAGATCTATTCACATTTAAATGCTGAAGTGCTCTAACGATAGCCACTTGTGGTTTTCCAGCCAAATATAAAGAAATCACACTATCACGCTTGAATTCCATCACGAATAATTTATTCTGGAAAATTCTCACCAAAATGCTTTTGTACGCTTGTAAACAATATAATGAGCTGTCACATAATTTTAACAGCTGTCGGACGAGTGGCTTAGAAATTACATATAGGTCCACGTATTATAACGATACCAACCGATATTCGGTATTTTGATAATACTATTCACATTTAAGAAGATTTGGTAGATAACAATCCTTGAAGTATAACATTGCCTATATAGATTCCAATTTTGGTATGGCCACCATATAACGGCCTCACCCATTTTATGGTTTTCTGAAAAGTTTAACAGCATTATCCAAACGGTCTTACTGGTAGTTGGAGTTTAAATTCAGATACTTTTATAAACAATTGTTTTCTTTACCCAATAATGGAGGGTATTAAAATTGCGGCCCGGTCGAACTTAATATTTATATCCTACAACACTATGTGTTGGGGGTATTATAAGTTTGATTGGGCCAAAAATTATGTAACACCTCGAATATTTGTTTCCCATATAGGAGAGTATATATGGATTTTCCTAGCTCGCCGAGCTGAGTCGATCTAGCTATGTATGTCCGTCCGTCCGTCTGTCCATGTTAATTTGTAATCACGCTACAGATCGCAATTATGGTCCGATCCTAACGAAATTTTGCACGAAGGTTGGGTTAGGGTCAGAATAGAAGCCTATTTCTTTTGGAGATGATCACCAAATGTTTAGGGGTTGAAATGGACCAAATACTGAAAAATTTTGGATTTTGCAGTAGCTATACAGGTCGCAATTATAGATCAATCGATGCGGAATTTCGCATGTAGCTAGAGTTTAGGGCGGGGAAGAAGCCTACGAATTTGGGTGGTCATCGAATAAAATTTAGCGGGTAAAATATACCATATCTTTTCTGTTGGAAAAATTCAAAATTTTTCATTAAACTGCGAATATTTTAAATCCCGGCGAAATCACAAAGCCATGACAAGGTTACTTCTGATCTTTACATTGATGTTAACATCCAACAAATCGGATATATAGCAAAATATGTGCGATATATATGTCTATCAAAGGAGATATACTTGAAAGATCTCTTATATGTCGAGAACGGCTGAACTGATTTCGACAGTTCTCATTAGTTCAGAATGGCCTCTTGGCAGGAAAGAAACAACGTCTAAAAAAATCGCATAAAAATATCTCTCTAAAGATGAAAATATTGATTTTGTAAAATTTTCTCATATTTTTTCAATTTTGTCATATTTTTGGCATATTTTCATTTTGAATTAAACATTTGGTAATATTTCTACAGCTAACAAAACTAAGTAGTTAGGATATCAGGATATCATATACAGATCGCATTCATGGCCCGATCCTTACGAAATTTTGCATGGGGATAAGATGAGGGTCAGAATAGAAGCCTACTCTTTTTGGAGATGATCGCCATATATTTAGGGGTTGAAATGGACCAAAAAACTGCAAAATTGTCAGCAGGTCGTAATTATCGCCCGATCCTCACGCACATTTGAATGGGGGTTACCGGACATTGCAAAAGCCAAGCAGTTTTGGATGGCCATCCAAAAATATTCAATGTGTGAAATAGTTTGCCAACTTTTGTAGACAAAATACGAAAATGTCCATTACAGTGACTTCTTGGAGAATTCACAAATACAGGAAAGACGCACTTCTGACTATTTCGTTAACGCTGATTTAGTTAAGGAATATAGTGAAATGGCTGTATCTCATATAGATGCGTTTCAGTCAAAAACCAATAATAAATGTTAATATTTTGCCACTTCTGAGAGATTATATGTCTTTGGGAAATATTGATTCCAGATCTAGGAAGACCATTTACGTGCAACATCTACCAATAAATTGGAAATGAGCAAATTAGTTTAAGTTGCTATTATTCGAAAATTAGAGAACGAAACCTGATGGTTTTCTTTTATTATTTGTCACAATATCTTGTGGAATTCTTTCGAGTATCTCGCCCATATAAGCTGTATCTTTTATTATTTATTATAGTGTTGTAGGGTATTTAACGGTCGGCCCCGCTCGACTGTAGCCTTTGCTTACTTGTTTTTAAGTTGTTTTAGCTTCAGTCGTTTCGTCTGGACGCTGAATCTCGATCAGTCAGTTATTTCACTACCATTTATATAGATTACGTTCTCTATAGCCCAATTACGGTGCTTCATTCAAATAGTTATTGGTGTTTAGATTCTTCTGGCCACACTTTCCAAATAAATGAGCTGGGCTCTGGTACTCTGGCTCCAAATGAATATACACACGTCTACTTCTGGTATTAAGAAACACATGCGATTAATGACACAATTTCAAACCTACATTCGGTTTCCATACTAATCAAAAACACTTGAAACGTTTCCCAACTATACCCTAATCTATTTCATTTCCATTATGCGCCATACAAACAACATAATAATAGCTTTGCCTCTTAAATAAGGAGGTGTTACACAGCTTTTAATTGAATTCAAGTAGACCTTTCTCAGTCTTCGAATATCTACAGAACAGATCTTATCTCTCAAACAAATCACACGGATTTGTTATTAATAGTAGACGAAAAAGGCATTGTAGTGGCAGAATATGCTCGAAACTGACATTTATACGACTCAGTCGGAATGAGACCATACAGGTTGATTGTCACGGCTATCGGGTTTGCGTTAATTCTGTCTAAATCGAATGTGGCTGATGTTACGAACATACGCGATCAAGTGAATTTTTATGGTAACCTCTTAAAAGACATACATCAGGAACGTGGCTATGACACCTTGGTTATTGTACATGAGGATGTTAACGTTGATTTGAGACTTAAGGAAATCTATGGGTTTCCTCATCCGAAAATATTTCTATCGAAACATTTTGAATTTTTCTATAAACAAGATTTCAATTCGGAAATTTTTGTAATAATCATAATGTCCGGCGCTTTGGATTTGGAACTAATGGGTGTTGCTGCCAGATCATTAAACTATATACGGCAATCGAGGATATTAATAATTGCTCGGAATGTTAGCAATGAAGAAGAATTTATGGTGGAATGTTTGACTCTACTCGAAGAATATCCCATGACAAATGTTTTGCTACATTTTTTAAAAAATTCATTTGAAATCCCATTGGACTATCAACAACTGAAACCGTTTCCAGAATTTCATTGGCAGAAGAGGAATTTCAATGAAAAGGATTTGAAATATTATCCCCAACATTGGCGAAATTTGTATGGAACAAATATCACCACCCACACTGATCAGTCCCTACCCTCATCTGTGACCTACATTGATAAACGGGGAAACTTAAAACTAAATGGACATGTGGCCAGATTGGTGTTACTTTTTGCAGAATATTTTAATGGCACCCTGAGAATGTATAGACCTCTAGAAATAAACGGATTTACCCATTTCACCGTTGTCGCTGATATGGCCACCAAACGTTTGATTGACATTGCCATGTGTCTGCACGTTATATCTACACCTGGACATAGTACTTGGACCTATGCCTCAGATGTTTATGAAATAGGCAGGGGTATGATTATTGTGCCATGTTCACAGCCCCTATCTATTGGAGAGATGTTTGAAATTCTTTTGAATGAATATTTCTTTGGCATGGTCATAATTTGTACGCTACTATTCTCTATTCTTCATTTCGTCATCGAATATTATTTTGATGGCGAATTTAGCTATACGGATCTGATTTTTAATAATCGCATAATTGGTGGAGTTTTGGGTCTATCATTCTCTGGTCGCAACTCACCATGGCGTGGCTTGAAACTCATTTACATTCTTCTATTCTTTGCTGGTCTGAACATCAACGCCCAATTTTCGGCCCGTATGAATACCCTCTTTACAAGTCCCCCAATGCACAAACAGATCGAAACTTTGTGGGATATACGAAACTCGAATTTGAAAATAAATGTCCTGAGAGGTGATCTCGCCATTATGGGCGGCATAATGTTGGATATTTTTCGTTCGTTGATTATCACCGAAGATGTTGCTGAATATTCCAGAATGCGTTTTAATTTCAATACCACAACCGGTTATTATGCGACATTGGCGCAATGGAAACTTTTCAGTTTGAAACAAAAATATCACAGTCACAAAACCTATTGTACCTATGAAAATTTGACCTTACATAAGTTTATACCCTGGAATATATTGCTGCAGCCCAACTCTCAGTATAAGGATGCTTTTAACTACCTTCTGCATCGAGTCCATGAGGCGGGATTATCAGATGCCTGGTATGCCAGTGCATTTAATGATTTATTGAAATTGAAACGTTTATCACTGGCGGATCCCAATCCAGAAGGTGGACCAAGTACAATGACCGTCGACGACTTGCGCTGGGCATGGTTGGTAATTATGATTGGGTTAGCTGTTGGCGGAGGAATATTTTTATTGGAATGGTGGTATCATCATCATCATAACCGATATTCGGATTAAAAATATTAGGTTTTTACGGATAAATTATGTCTTATTTATTTTTAAAGAGTAATCAAAATAATAAAAGCACAATTCAAGAGAACAATTATTTTTTATTAAGTTCATCATCTATACATATCATAAAGTAGTGAAATAACTGACTGACTGTCGGAGAATCAACGCCCAGACGAAACGGCTGATGCTAGAATCTTCAGATTTTGGTCCTAAGGGGTCAGATCAGGCTGGGGTTTTTTAAATTCTTACTAGAAAGGTACGAAAAGTATTAACAGGTACTAAATGTGGTACCCTCTGTATTTGAAGAAGCAGTAGAGCTAGAAATCTTAAATTTGAAATGAGGGTCACTAATGGAGTGTATGATAGACGTACCGAAGTTTTTTTTTTGGAAATTTGTACTTACAGTACGAAAATTACTAAAATATACGCGCATTTTGGACGATTTCGTATCATGTGAGCCGTTAGAGCTAAAAACTTGAAATTTGGATTAGGATGGATGAAAGGAGGTAGTTTTAGTGTGTATTCATGTATACGAACAGTACAAAGAAGTACAAAATCTAGTACAATTTGAATAAGGAGGAACGGATGAAGCTGGAATTCAAAAATTTGAAAATAATATTACTGGCGTAGTGTAGGATTAATATATGGAGAAAGTTTTCGAAATTTGTACTTATGTGCACGAAAAGTAATAAATGGTACTAAATTTGGTACAATTTCGATTTAAGTGAACCGTTAAAGATGGATTGCTGAGATTTGGAAATAAGATTAATCATTGTGAGACTAATGTATGTGAGTTGTTTTGACAATTTGTACTTATTTGTACTAAATTTAGCACAGTTTGAATTTAGGTGAACCAATAGAGTTTTAATCCTGAAATTTAGAATTAAAACTATAGTTGGAGTGTAGGATTGGGTTCTGTAGAAAGTTTTGGAAATCCGTACTTATCTGTACTATATTGAACTAAATTTGGTACTAATTGAAATTGTGATGAATTCATGGAACTGGAATTCTGTAATTTGTGATTGGAGTCATTGCAGAAGTGTTCCAAATAATTATTGGAAATTCAAACCTTAAATTGGGGAAATGTTCTGACATGTTACTAAACTTCTAAAATCGTGCCATTTGGTATTATGAACTAATAAAGCTAAAAACGTCAAGTTCTGTTTGAGAACTTACATTGAAAAGTAACTTTCATATATGAAGGTTGTTTTTTGAAATTTGTACTATGTAAGGGTACTTTTGGATCAATTTGGTTTAAGTTTGGAACAGTCTGGTTTATTGTGATCGGATGAAGCTGAAATTTTGATTAAAAGGTGGTTCTAGATGTGTGTACATTTGGTACAATTCGGTATTGAATAGGGTCGCAGTTGTTTTAGAAACGTGCACGTTATTTGTACGAAAAGTACTGAATGGTACTATATTTGGTATTAAGTGAAGTGATAGAGAAACAATTTGATTTTAAGATTGCAGGCGGTATCTGTGTTTGACATTTGTCGTTGGTTTTGAAATGTAACCTATATTTGTAGGAAAGTACTAAATGGTACTAAATTTAGTGTTGTGTGAAAAGATAGAGCTGAAATCCTGAAATTTTATATTGCGGTTACTGTTAAATATATTGCGGTTACTGCAAATGAGTACTAAAATTACACGAAATTACTGAACTGTGCTACAATTGGTATTGGGTGAAGGCATAAATATGAAATTGGATATTAAGTTTGCTGATGGTATCTGCTTTTTGAGAAAGTACAAAATGGTACTACATTTTATTATTGTGTGAAGGGATATGGCTGGAATGCTCTAATATGATATTAAGATATGTGGTGGTATGTGGAATTGAGATATGACGGTTCTTTTGGGAAATTAGTACTAAAACAAGTAAAAGCTGTAATTTCGGCCGGGCCGAACTTTGAATACCCTCCACCATTTGGCGCAAATTTGCCAATTTTCACAAAAATAAAATCCGTTAAAAATTCTGTTAAAATCTTAAAAAAAACCGTATATTAGGGTCTATACGACGACGTTGACCTGAACAGACACTTTTCTGTCTTAGGCTGTAGTATTCATTAAGAACTTCAAATGCCAAATTTTGAATAGTTCCGGTAAATAATGTCGCTAAAATCATCAAAATACCAAATTTGAAACAATTTCGGTAAATAATTTCGCTAAAATCATCAAAATACCGAATATCGGGGGAGTACCGTTATATGGGGGCTATACGAAGACGTGGACCTACATAGCTCATTTTCTGTCTTAGGCTGTAGTATCCATTACGAACTTCAAATACCAAATTGGAAACAATTCCGATGAATAATGTCGCTAAATTCATCAAAATATCGAAAATCGGGAGGTACCGTTATATGGGAGCTGTACCGAAACATGGACCTGCATCACCAAAAGTCCTGCAGACATAATACACATTTGAGCAAAATTTTATCAACCTATTTCATTTCGTTCGGAATCTAAAGTGATTTCCACAGACGGACGGACATCGCTAAATCGACATAGAATTTTATGCTGATCAAGGATATATATGTTTTGTGGGGTCTAAAATGTATATTTCGATGTGTTACAAACGGAATGACAAACTTAATATACCCTCCATACTATGGTGGAGGGTATAATAATACGAAGAGTACTAAATGGTACTATATTTGGCATTGGGATAAGAAATAGAGATAAAATTCTAAAATTTGATATTGAGATTAATGATGTTATCTGTGTTTAAGATTTAAAAATGGTTTGGAAATGTGTTCTATATTTGGGTGAAGTGGTATCTAGAATTTTGATATGGAGGGGGTTTTGGAAATAAAGTACATATTTCTTTAAAGTACATATTGTTCGAAAAGTACTAGATTTGGTACTGGGTGAAGGAATATAGCTGAAATCCTGAAATTTGAAATAGATGTCACTGTTGGTGTCTGTGGCTAAGATATGAATGTGGGTATTGGGTGAATATAAAGTGCTTGAAATCTGAAATTTGATATGGATGTCACTGTAGGCGTTTGTTTTTGAGAGATGGAGTTGATATTGGATATGTGTAATATAATTGTACTAAATGGTACTAAATTTTGTAATAAAGCAAATAAAGGAATTAAAAAGTAAATCCTCAAATTTGATATTATCGATTGCTGTTGCTATCTGAAGTTGAAATGAACGAAATGACCTAAATGTTACTAAATTGGTAATTTGGGAAAAGATAGAGCTGAAATCCCGAAATTTGATATGGATGTCATTGTTGGGGAAGAAGTTAAGAAAAAGAGGTTTTTTCGAATGCGTAATATGAACGTACGAAAGGTGCAAAATGCCACAGTGTGTGCCGGTAGGTATTAGGATGTAATTCGGAAATTTTGTATCGAAGTCGTTGTACGTTGGAGAGATGGAGGTGATTGTGGTCATGCAAAGCATAGCTGTTGAAAAGTATGGTATGAATTTTAGGATTGGAGCTTAGGATAGAGCTGGAATTCTGAAATTTGATGTGGAGGCCAGTGTTAGTTTATAGTTTTGAGAGAAGAAGGATGGATTTAAGAATGCGTACGATTGTTCAAAAAGTACTAAAGGTTACAAAATTTGCCTTTGAATTTTTATTATAAAACAAGTAAGCAAAGCTACAGTCGAGCGTTGCCGACCGTTGAATACCCTACAACACTATAATAAATGATACAGTTTATATAGGCGAGATACTCGAAAGAATTCCACAAGATATTGTGACAAATAATAAAAGAAAACCATCAGGTTTCGTTCTCTAATTTTCGAATAATAGCAACTTAATCTAATATGCTTATTTCCAATGTATTGGTAGATGTTGCACTTAAATGGTCTTCCTAGATCTGGAACCAATATTTCCCAAAGACCTATATTCTCTCAGAAGTGGCAAAAGATTAACATTTATTATTGGTTTTTGACTGAAACGCATCTATATGAGATACAGACATTTGACTATATTCTTCAACGAAATCAGCCTTAACGAAATAGTCAGAAGTACGTCTTTCCTGTATTTGTGAATTCTCCAAAAAGTCACTGGCCAACTATTTCACACATTGAATATTTTTGGATGGCCATCCAAAACTATTTGGCTTTTGCAATGTCCGGTAACCTCCAGTCAAATGCGCGCGAGGTTCGGGCGATAATTACGACTTGCTGACAATTTTGCTGTTTTTTTTTTGTCCATTTCAACCCCTAAATATATGGCGATTATCTCCAAGAAGAGTAGGCTTCTATTCTGACCCTTATCTTATCCCCATGCAAAATGTCATAAGGATCGGGCCATAAATGCGATCTGTATATGATATCCAAAATGGAAAAAATATGAGAAAATATTACAAAATGGATATTTTCATTATTAGAGAGATATTTTTATGCAATTTTTTTAGACGTTTTTTCTTTCCTGCCAAGAGGCCATTTCGAATTAATGAGAACTGTCGAAATCAGTTCAGCCGTTCTCGACATATTTCAAGCATATCTTCTTTGATAGACATATATATCGCACATATTTTGCTATATATCCGATTTGATGTATGTTAACATCAATGTAGAGATCAGAAGTAACCTTGTCATGGCTATGTGATTTCGCTGGGATTTAAAATATTCGCGGTTTAATGAATTTTTTCAACACAAAAGATATGGTATTTTTTACCCGCAAATTGGAAGGCTTCTTCCCCGCCCAAAACTCTAGCTACATGCGAAATTCCGATTGGTCTATAATTGCGACTTGTATAACTACTGCAAAATCCGACATTTTTTCAGTATTTGGTCCATTTCAATCCCTTAACATTTGGCGATCATCTCCAAAAGAAATAGGCTTCTATTCTGACCCTAACCCCACCTTTGTGCAAAATTTCGTAAGGATTGGGACATAATTGCGACCTGAGGAGTGATTACAAATTAACATGGACAGAAGGACAGACGGACGGACGGACATACATAGCTAGATCGACTCAGCTCGGCGAGATAGGAAGATCCATATATACTTTCCTATGTGGGAAACCAATATTTTGTGGTGTTACATA